TAAGATAACTACAAAATATAGACTAAAACAGGAATAAATTAAAAACTATTTGTCATTTCATGCAGAGTTAAACTGAAGATCTTCATTGATAATGTACTGGGAAGCTAAAACTTCCAGACATACAGTACATTGTTAGACTACATAGAAGGTTGCATTCACAGGGTGTTGTACTGTAGATATTTATCTTTACTTGTCATTTGTAAATCTCTCAGTTTCTCTTATCATTTCTCAAATGATCACAGACTTGCCAACTCCAGGGTTGTGCCTGGGTCACATGTGGCCGTCGAGGTAAGGTATGTGTAGTGGTCCTGACAGTGCTCACACCCCATCATGTCTTTCTCACAAACACACAGACACACCCCAGATGCCTACTCCATGGAGTGTTGGCAGTTATTTGCACAGATGTAAATGCTCTTTTCTTCATGACACGCTGCTTTTCTCTTGTAAGAGTTAAGATAAAAACTCTGTTAATAAGATTATATAAACTGAGTCGACCAGCTGTTGATAGATAAGATAAGTGGAAGGCAGGCACCATAGCAGAATGTCAGTGTGTGTGTCTGCGGACATGTGCATTCCTGGTGGTGAGATTATCTACATCCTGCACTGAATGATTTTCAAGCTTTCAAGCTGGCGTTAGACCTGAAGATAAGGCTCTGCAAATGCATGTTGGGTGCTGAGATTGTATTTTAATCTAACAGACTTTTTTCACTTCCTTTTTGTGTATCAACTCTAAATTAGAGCAATGACAAGTGAAATGGACAGTAAAATTATAGGACATACAGTGTGTGTATTTCTGTAAAGGCATTGAAAAGAAATCGTAATAATTTCACTTATTAATTAACATGATTAACATTAAACATTGTAGAACAAGCCAGTAGTTGATACCTCAATATTCAGTTACATTACTATTCACGCAATGAAATGCATCTCAGCATGTCCAATACACTGATCATGTGGTGTAAACTGCGCTCACCTTGTCGAGGAGGCTCAGAACAAGGGTGCAAACGTCTTCATCGGCATGTTCTTTGAGAAGCTCCGCCCTCTCTGAGTTCCCATTGGCTGACAGCACTTGCTTTAAAGTTCTCAGCTGCCATTCAAAGTGTTCCAACTGCTTCTCCAGGCAGATGTCCTGCTCCGCCTCACCTGGAAATACACACACGTAAACATTTTCGAAAAATAATTATTAAAATTCACTTAATTTGTAGTAATTATCCATCAATTAGTTGTTCATGTCAACATCATAACATAAATAACAAACACACATAACCTTTTTAACACTTTTCTCTTGTCCTCCTCCTTGTTAAGGGTTAACAGCTAAACTGTATAAGTATATGAGGTCATCACAAAAACCTAAAAACTGTGGTTTAACACACGCACACACCCACACAGAGGAAGTGTTGCTCACTGTAATTCAATTGCAACCTGTCAGTTACATCATGGGCATGTACAAACATGAGCCAACACACACTGTGAGGACACTCATTCACTAAAATACTTTTCATTTTTTTCCCCTCTCTCTGCAAAAACCTCTAGTTGATCCTGACTTTAAAACTCAGCATTATGACTTTGTTACACAAACCACATTACTACATTAACACATTACTACATCAACAAAGGAAAAATATGTTAGTGTAGTTTAATCATAATTTTTTTTAACACAATCTTATCTCAATATTTTAGAATCTTATCTCAACGTTTTAGAACAGTCACAGTGCTGGGTGTGTTGATTTTTTTTTTTTGACTGCAGTGTGAGGAAATAAAATGTCATCACCACCAGAGCTTGTTTCCACTAACATAAAAGTCCCAGAGCTCAACCATAAACACATCTCTGGCATCTGAAACTGTATCTACTTAATTATTACTATTTTCATCACCATCATCACCTTAAACATGTTATTATAAAATTGTTCACGCCAACAGTGTTTGCATGTTTTTCCACAAAGATGTTTTTTGCTCAGAGACATGCTTTTTAAAGGCAAGAATGTCTTACTTTTTTTATGTCTCCTGTTGATGAAAAGAGAAACCTGTTTGTTAGTTTTGTGCAGAAACAACCTCCTGTTCTCTGAGCCTCATTTCAACTGATATTGATCAAAACGTGACATCATCATCACAACATGTCCTCCCAGGAACTTCATGTACATTTCTGTAAAACAACAGACTGGCCTCATTCTGCACAGATAACAAATGTCCTTTTGTAGCATTGACTGATTTTTTTTCTTAATTGGCCTGCATGTGGTCCAGCTCTGTGTCTTATTGAAAGCTAAACGTTTTTTGACCCAGATGCATAAGCAATTTAAACTGACCAAAATTCAACAAGAAAAACTGCTTACTTTGATATTTTCTTTTCCCAAATTGTATTATATTGTATATTTATACACATAAATATTCAAATGTCTTAACATGGCAGTCTTAAGATTGAAATGAAGTTTAAACAAAGTAAACCCCACTTTTCTCGAAAATAAACTTTGTACCGTTTCTTCCTCATATCTTTGTTTTTGCAACCATTTTCTGACCTACTTGCAACCATCACTCTAACTTAAAGACCACAATACTATAGTTGTACTTCCTCCCATCTCTGTCAGTAAGTCTTGACATTAAACAAAGATCTTCAATGTGTGTGTGTGTGTGTGTGTGTGCACTGTGTGCAACACCACAGGAATGTTGCTGTGTGACATTAAATGAGCCTGGTAGCTAAATGACTTTGCCACCATTGTTCGAACTAACGTTAACAATGGTCTAAACGCAGTAGACTCCTGAACAAAACAAATAATAGCTTTTTACATCTTTTGTGAAGACACACACACACACACATATTAAGAGATATACATAGATTTGAAAAATTCAACACACCTCCGTCATCTTTACGGCTGTTGTTTTGGCTCTTCTCTCCTTTCTTGCCTTTGCTTTTCTTCTGACAATGACAGGAAAAGAAAACAGACTTTATTTCATCTGTAAGAAGTAAAGTAAAAGTAAGCAAGTAACTAGTAACAAAAACTACAAGCACATGCCCTCAGCTCAGACAGAGGCTGTGCTTCTTCACTTACAGTTACACGCTATCATTGTGTACATTTGAACTTTGAAAATAAACATATAACCTGGTGATGTGGGAATTTTCAAAATAAAAGTCATCAGTAAAATAAAAGCAAGTTATGTTTGTACATTTTAGCCAAATGATAAAACCACCATTTAAGCCTAAATATCTTTAATATTGTATGAGTCCTGGATTTGATTCTCAGAGGAACCACATATACCTAAAGGTACACCTTGAATTAGAAAAAGTTGCGTTTTTGAAATTTCTGAAATCTTTAGGTTTCACCTATTGCACAGTAAGGGCTTTTTAAATGTCTTGTTATTGGACTTCATTCAGAACAAATGATTACAGTTTTCCAAGTTCACAGGCTTAGACTGAACAACAAACCTGATAATGTCAGGTTTATCAGAGACATGAAGCAGAGAGCTTCATGTCTCTGTCATAGACATGAAGCAGACCAGCAGTGCCAGGAACTGACCATCTGTCAGAAGTGGTGTTTGGTTGGACACTAAGCTGGACCCTAGTTCGCGGCTCCTGACCCTGCCAGTGTTGTAATAACAATAATATAATAATTTTGTACCAATTAAGAACTATTTTTTAGCACAATGGTCAGAACTGTGTGGACCCTTCTGCGCTGACAACACCCCAAAAATAAATATTATGGTTTGCTTTTGTCTGTTGTAATTCTGCGTTGCTGCAAAATATTGTAACATATAATGACATAAACAGCCATTAAACTACAAATAAAGTTCCAAAATTAAAAAATAAAATGATAGTGTTACAGGCTATTATTACTTCCACAAGTGTTCTAACCCATTGTGACATGCAATGTTGTCAAATGGCATTCATCCATCCACCCATCGAAAAAAACTATCAACTAACCTACCTACACTTCAAAATATAGAACTTTGAAGCAACAACCTTTTCTTTCTATATTGCTAATATTTTACTTGGGACAAATTTGGCCCTGCAAAACAGTAAACAGCTAAATATATACAAAAATAAGTCTGTACGACAGTCATAAGTCAATTTTATCTTGCAACAAAGTTTCCTCAGTTTCAGTTTCCTGCACCACAGTTTTTAAGAAGTTCTGTATTTTAAGCTCATGAAAGGCAGGTGTTGCCGTTCTACTGCTGCATCATGGGTAACACATGCACAACTGTGGTAAATTCGATTGAAACATTTTAAACTCCAATGTCACAATATATCAACTTTAAATCGAATGATGGCAGCAGCAGGGGATCGACAACTCAACAAATCACATCCATCCATCCATTTTCAGCCACTTATCCGTTACTGGGTCGCGGGGGCAGCAGTCGCCACCCAAATCACATTGCACCGTACCAACCCCCCTAAACCTTCCTGGTGGTGAGTCCACTACAATCGACAGATCACAGATTTTCTCAATTAAATGCAGTGTGATCGTAGGAGATGTAAAATGCAGAATGGTTATTTCTTTGCACATAAGTGAATGAGCTCAACTGTAACGCAAAATAAAACTTAGGTAAAACACAGAAGCTAAAAGACCACATCACAGGCCACATCTATACACAGAGACAACACAGTGCAGTGGTTACTATGTTACCTCACACCCACTCATTTCTCAAGCAGAGAAGCCAAACAATCACACCCTCAAACACACACGCACGCACGCACGCACGCACACACACACACTGTATAAACACTTGAGTCTGACTTTATTCCACCTTGGAGTGCAAACAATAAATCTGTGTAGGTTAGACACGGAACAACATCAGATGAGCTGAAACTTAGCGGCATGTTGTCGTGTGTTTCTCAGCTTTAGGAGGAGGAGTGGAAGGAGAAGGAAGAGGAGGAGGAGGAGAAGCATATGTTCTCTAAGGCCTCGTAGGGGCCCTGACTTTCTAGAAGGCAGTAAATCAGACTCTGCTCGTCTGTTTGTTCAGCACTTCAGCTTCCAGAAAAACGGAATGGGTCTGGTTTCACCATGATGTTCCAGCAGATGTTTCACAGGTGAGCATAAATCAAATCATTGGTGGGTTTAATCTGTGGTGGAAGGAGTCTCAGTTTTTACAATATCAACACAAGGTATAAAACAGGTCAAAGCCACCAGCAAAGAAATCAACCAACAAAAAGTAACTTTCTATGTGTTTTATGACTTTCTAAATGTTTTATGAGCCTCGTAAAAATTCTCGTGGAATTTCTATTACCTTTGAGGAATGATAACAAAAAAAAGCATATTTATGATTAGAACTTTCCACAGGTAAAATATGTGGTATCTTAAAAGTACCTCCACTGCTAACTACAGATGCAATGAATGCAATTTTTCTTTTGTCCAATTCTGCTTTTCTGCAAAGTGTGTTACAGAAAATGTATTTAAATTATATTATGAAATATTTTCCCAAAAAAATACAACAATTGAAAAATTAAATAAAGTTCAAGTTCAAACTTTGTTTTTTTCATCTAATTAGTGCAGTGGGTAATGAGTGCTAACAAAAAGGGCTTTTACAACATATGCAAGAGCAAAATTCCTATCTCTTAAAACATAATTGTTTTTGGTTTGTTTTTCCACCGTGGTTTTGTGCACAGATCAACATCTGTTGGGCCAGATTTCATGACCTTGCATTGGCAGCAATGGAGCTGATGAAATTTCAAAAGCATTTCTGGCTTCTAAGTGTCACTGAAGGTTCGCTCTATCAGCTCGGCGTTTGACAGTGGGGTTGGAACATGGTGGCTGCTGCCTCCAGAAATAACATTACTTGTTGCCACCCCATTTTTAAGCCAATTAAAATATTTCTGTTCATTAAAACACAATGTTGATTGCATCTCCACAGACTACTACTGTGACTACTTTCTCAAATGGTTATCGTCAACTACAGTACATGGCCTTAGGAAAAAAGCAGTAACTGAGCAACTGAGCTACAAATATTATGTTAATTGTTTCAAGATACGGCAGACCTAAATCAGTCTGTGTTTTTAGTCCTACCCATCAGATGCTTTTTGACTATGATCCGTAACAAAAATGTTTCAGATCTAATGACTTCCTTTGCTGTCTGGGAAAAAAACAACCAACATCTAAGTGAAGCAGCAGTGCGATAAATACCAACTTTAGATATCAAGGAATCCAGCACCGCCACAGGAATTTTAAGATTACATGCTCCTTTTTTCAATTCCAGACTTCAATGACTTTGCCCTCAACTCATTTATCTCCAGAATATGCTTGAACGCCCCATTTGTTTCTTTGGAGGAGAGTATTCCAGAGCTTCCGGCTTCTGTTAGGAATTTCTTCTGAAATAAGGAATTCCTGAGTCTCCCATGGATGAGTAGCAACTTGGAATGCTTATTCTCTACAACATGTGACATTTCTCCCAGAAGGGCAACATTTTTAAAAATATTTAGCTGATGAAGGAACAGAATGGATGGCTGTCACAGTAACACTAATGTTCAGCATGCATGTTTTTTTATGGTCTGTATTGTCATTAAATAACTGCTTAGTTTTAGGAGAATAAGTGATGTGGTGATGTCTATGTTTATGAGATAAATAAACAGAAAAGAAAAACATCAAAAGCCTAAAGGACTACAAAGGGCTACAGTTGTATATTCACTGCGCTTAAACCACATTTTATGTCACCAGTCAAGTTTCCAAATAAAAGTCAGTTAAAAAAAAAACAACCTTGTTTTCCACCGAAGCTCAAACAAGAGTTTTCTCAAAACATAAAACAAACAAACAAAAAAGTATCCAACAACATCTAGTGTTTATTACTTAAAGTTGTCAGTTTTCTCAGTGGCTAGGCTATGCTAATTGGTTAAATCCCCTCACCTCCACAGGTCACCTTTTCATGTGTTTTACTTTTTTTACAATATTTTTTCAATCCCTAAATTATAATATGGGTCTATGTTTCCACGTTAATCACCTAGAAGTTTTTGAATCGCTTGCAAAAAAAAAAGTAAAAATACAGACAGCAGCATCTCAACAGGTAAACTCAGCTTCATAGCCGTCCATAGATTCTAACATTGAGTTTACAGTAGAGATGAAGAATTTTATTTAACATTTGTTGTTTGATAACCACATATCATAAAAGTAGAGCTCTGACCTTTGTGAGGGGTTCACACATGTCCAGCAGCTGGTTTGGTTTGACAGGTGCTTTGTTTATCGAGATCAAACTTTTCCACCAGACTCCAACTATATGTGAACTGTGACAGTGTGTTAGAGCAGAAAGTTGTTTTAAAGATAAATAGGGAAGATGGTAAAAATATGTTCCTGGATAAATAAGACGGATAAATAAGACACCTTGAACCATTTGACTTTTAAGACCTTAAAGAGTGGTGCTAAAAGTAGGGCATCACAGATGCATTGAATTCTCTATTTTAAAACATTTATCCGAAGAAGGAAGCTGAAATAAAATGGAAACAACATCTGCTTAGCTGATCTGAAAACCTGTCAAAATGTGTGTGAAGTGATGCCTCTGTCGTTCAAATATGTAAGGAACAAAATCTTAAGATTAAGGTTTTTGGATGTGTTGTTTGATGTGTCTGTATAACCCCCAAAATACTCAAAATTCATATTCATTGTGTTTTATATTTATTGTGTTTTGTTTTTTAAAATAAACATGCACCGTGCAGCCTTGTGACCTCTACACTGTTAATGAAGCTGTAATATCTTAAGGGCCAGATTTCAGCAGGTGACATCTTTAAAAATCACCTGCATTTCCTTGTACAATGTTCCTTTTGTAAGACCTGACTTTCAGCTTTCAAAAAGATCTGTCAACACTTCAGCAGTTATAATTTTCGGTTACACCTTATAGTAAATCAGTAAGAAAAGCTTGCTTCCTGTTCTCAGAGATATGACTGGTCACCTGATGTCCTTCTTTGTCAGTCTACTATCAGTCAACTCGGTCAGCTGTATTTATTTGACCCAAATTCACAAAACAAACTGCACATGCAAAACAACCATCCTTCCCCAAAAACTCTTAACATGGGGGTGATAATAGAGCAATTATACTTAAATCAGCCAATGTCATTTTATAAAAACCACCATAGAAACACCTGGGCACAAAGTCAGACTGCTTTGTTCTCAGGCTGGTGAGAGAACAGCTGCTAATGCTAACATTACTTCTATAGTTCTTGAGCAAAAAAAAAAAAAAAAAGAACAGCTGAAAAGTGTCTAGCAAACACAACAAAAACAAAAACAGTGTCATGTGACTCAGTCAGCTCTCTCCCCACCCTCAAGGCCCTAAAATCTTCATCATGTGCTTTAGTTTGTTTTTGTGCGCTACTTAATGCAGACTTAATTTATAAATATCGCCCGTCATGACATGAAACTAAGCTCACAGAGTATTAAACATTTAATAGTTTAATAGTAAAGATACATTTAGTAGTTTGTGATGAAAAACAAAACATCTTGTTTTAGAAACATTGTAACTACAACACAACAATAACAACTGCATCACACAAAGTCCCTTCCACCGTCTTTACAATGTCACAGCAAACATTTCTTGTTTCTGCTGACATGGAATGAGAACTTTGATCAAAAAAGAAAAGGTCATGATGTTGTCATTTTACGTATGTGTCTAACAACTGATGGATTGTTTGTGAGGAATTTGGTGACATTGATTGATGACACTAGTTGGGATTCAAAGTCCAAGCTGCAGTAACAACGACGTATTCCTGATTAACAGTGACACACACGCTAGTTAGCCATTTCTACAAAAAAAAGTACATTAAAATAAAAAATAATCAAAAGGATTTATGCAAGAAGATAAACTGACAACAGGCCAGTAAAAAGTGTAATATTTTCATTTACAGAAGTTTACAGAGAGCGCTTGATGATTTTAATGCTGTTTTGGCTGCACAGGAGAAACACAACAAGCATATTTCTGCCACAACAGGAAAAAGTCTGTTTTTTGTTGGTGTGAGAACGCCCACTAATATCCACACTAATAGACGCAGGATTCAACAACTGAAAGAATGTCAGTCACTTGTGTCCAAAAACTCTTAACCTCCATGTCCATATGGGGCACACATGGCTTTAATTGGGCAACATGAGTACTAACTTGTCCAAAGTTTGAACTGGGAAAAAAAGAAAAAAAGAAAAGAGTGATCCAGATGCTCTATTCCCGCACAAGAGCAGTGGGAGGCCCCTATATGACAGCAAGTGTGAACCTCAGTGTCAGTCACTGGTTCTTACATTGGGAGCCCAGGACAGTCGACTCTGAGTCAGAACCTCACGTTAAAATAAGTGAAGTACTGCTTTAACATGGTTGTTTGTGCTGTATGTGGATGGCGCTGTGAATTAAACAGGATTAGAGTGGCATAATGGTGTCAGCCTCATTGATCCTCTCAGCCTTTAGCCATCAATGGTAATTCTGTGCTAATTAAAGATTTACTGCTCACGTAACTGCTTCTGAAAAAGACTAGCATCTGGCATTCATCGGGAAAAATATTAAAGCCTAAACCAAAACAACTTGACATCCAGGTGTATTTTTTAACCAGGCTAATAAAATATATTACACTCAAAACCAAATTGTCTCTATTGTAAGTGCAGTGGACAATAATATTTCTCCACTGTTTAAGTCAAAAGAAACAAACTTGTTTCAGAGATTACAAGACAGTAGGAAAGTCGAACTACAACTGGACTGTTTCTACAGATGTAAACATACTGACTGTACTGCAAAAAAAGTTAAACCACATTTTTCAAAGACAAGGTTGTGGATTGATTTACACTCATCATCAAATATTATCAGACCGTCAATCGCTAATAGCATCATCTATTATATTTCCGTAAATAAGACTATCCACAAGGTGTAGCCAGCATCTTGTTCTTAAAACATAATAAATGTGCTGGACATAAAAGACAACTTAAACAACCTTTCTCAAAATCAACACAATGTGTAGCAAATTATAGAGACACCTTTCAAGTGCTGCCCCGTTTGGTGGGTTTGTCATTGCAATAAAAGGTAAAACAAAAACCCAATACCACATACAAAATAAAAGAATAGCTCACTGGTGAATATATAAGTATGAATGAACAACTTTGAACAAATCTTTCTGTAACTCTGGTATTTTTTACTTTTCACAGTTCTTTGCGGGTGTTTACACATCTAAGTCGTTTGCCGCAGTAATATTATCAAGCACCTCTTATTTTGCAGTATGTAGAAGGTAAAACAGAATAGTAATGTCATGAATCGTTGTTGGTGAAAGGGGTACATTTTAAATGAACAAAGTAAATGTCACAGTGGAAGTATTTTACGTACTAACTTTAATCAATACCATGAGACCAGACACATGTCATAGACAATAAACCGCATTTTTATGAGAAACTGAGATTCGAACACGATTGGAAACAGATGTTCCAACAAAAATTTACATTTTACCGCCCTTTTGTAGCGACAGCACTTTTGAAAACTAACAAAACAAGAGGGAGAATTAAAACAAAAACGTGTAAAAAACAAAAAGAAGAAGTCGCAGCTCTGGACTCCATGACCGGAGGCTCCGCGCGTTTAGCAGCCCAGTAGCAGCAGCCTACAACGGCTGCTTTCTGGAGATGCCTCCACCAACTCCTCCGGTCAATTTTATTGGGACTGTAAAATTTTGGCTTACCTTTACTTTGCTGTGGGTGCAGCCCATCCTCCTCCACCGCCTCCTTCTGTCTGTATGAAGAGGCTCCTGCTCCGTTCACCGCTCCTCTTTATTCTCCTTCTCCGGCTTTTGTAATGACAACTTTCAAACTCTCCCGAAAAAGTCCGTGAACGCACCGCCGGTCATGGGGGGCGCGGCTTATTATAGGTGCGTTCATGGACTCTTTGTTGGCTCGGCACTTCTGCAATTATTTAATGTTGTAAATGTGAAATTACAAAACTGTTATTTTTCACCGAAAACATAGAATCATTTGTTTCTGAAAAGGTCGCTTTTCATTTTAGTAGAAACACTCCACTCATTTATACTGCTGTGTGTCGAAAACAACACAACAGTATATATATATCAGTGTGTTATCAACACACTGATATATATATATATAATTTTCCAGGTGTAGAAGTGGACGTGGTCGAAGGTGCTGAGAGATTAGGTTCTATCTGGGTGGGGGAAAGGGTGGTAAAGACTGGTAAAGGTGTTTTTGCAGATGGAGTTGGAGGCCTGGTGTACATCTTGTAGGACATATAAGTAAGTTTCTCAGTGAATGCCCCGTTCTAAGTGGAAGTCTGGTGAAAGGCCTGGTGGGAGATCATAGTGTTGATCCAGTAAGAGTGTGGTCAAAGATCAGGGTGCAGGTCCAGAGTCAGATCTTAACGAGCTCACCAGCTCAGTGACATAAAATGAAGCAGCTGCTGTTGACAGAAACTTGCTCTGACGCCATTAACGACAACTGCTGCAACGTCACACTAATAATACACATACACATAAATTCCATAAGTGTATGAGGAGAGTGACTGTGGTTGTGTGTGTGTGGTCATGCATGCATGGGTGTGTGTGTTTGTGTGAGCATACAGAACATACCTGAGTGAAGTGTGTGAGAAAGTGTAAGTGTGTGGGAGCTCTTCTATAAATAGATGTCAGGACTTTGTAAGGAAGATCATGTGACCTGATATGTGTAATCTACTTTAATGTGTGTATGAGTGAGTGATTGTGTGATTTAAATAAAATTTCTGTGACTAAGATGAATTGGAATTTCGGTGATTTCCCATTCCTCTGTCTTTTTGTTGTTGTGTCTGTTCTGTGTGTATTAGGTCAGAATCATAAAACTTATGCACGTGAACGTCACATGTCTCTGCTGCTCCTGCATTGCCACCTGTTGTTGAAACAAGCACACAGCAGGCTGAAGTAACGTTTTAGTATATATATTTTTTTATTTAATCAATCTTTCATTATCAAAATCCGATGGCGAGGCTTTGTGCTAACTGATCATTAAAACTACAGTATGTCTTTTTCAACAGTCTTAAAACAAAAGAACATGTTTTAGCCAATGAAGCAGGTAAAAGCTAACAAACTCTTAAACTCATGACATAACTCTGCATATTTCACTGTACAAAACTCCAGTGATGCAGACGTTACTTTTATTCACATGTTCTCTCTCCATGACCTCAGAATCTTGCAGAGCTCTGAGACAAGGCCAAGGGTATACCGATCTCCAGTGGAATGTCCACGCCAACGTAAACTCGGATGAATGAGATGACAATGCCAAGACATGAGAAGCCAATAAGAATCCAGAGAAAGGTACCACTTAAATAAATCGGACCCAAACTGTAGAGGGCAAAAAGGTCACAATAAGAGTGTCAACTGTGTAAAATTGTCAAATTATTTAAGATACATAGTTTATATATATATATATATATATATGTGTGTGTGTGTGTGTATATATATACATATATATATATATTTATATTATAATTTTTACAAAACGTTTACACCAAACATCTTGCACTGCTTAATTTTTTTAAGGTCTGGGTGGGATATAAACAAAGGGACAAACAACCATTCACATTCATATTCTTACATACACAGGGGGGACATGTAAAATTCATAAAGAATCACTGTGGCCCAACATAAGGTTATGTGCAAGGGTAATTATGAGAAGTATGTTAGGGTGGTACAGGAACATGTGAGAAGGCAGCTTCACTGTTTACAGGGATTAAGCCTACCCTTTTAAGACTAATTGATTTTCACTATAGTTACTAAAGATACTGATCAATTATGGTTTGTGCAAAAGACTTAGATTGTCTTACCGTCCATGTGATGATTGCGAATATCCAATAAAGTAACGTAGGCGTGCATATAAATAAAGAAGACCACAGAGGGAGGAGAGAGCTGCAACTCACATACCCAGACAGAGTTAGTTTTTATTTTATTTTTTATTCTTAATTGTGAGTGTGTGTGTGTGTTTACCTTGACTGAAGAAGATTCCAGAAATCCACAGCAGGGTGATGAAGATTGGGAAATATTCTGAGCAGTTTACCCTGTAAACATACACAAAAAAGCTTAGCACCCCCTAAGAAATTTGATTTTACTTTTAAATATTTGTGATTTGATTTAAAACAAAGCAAAACCTTTTAACAATAGAACCTGCAACTTATCTGAAAAAATAAGTAAATACAGTAACAACCTGAACTCTGGGGCTTCTTAAGCCACAGTTAAAAGTTGAAACAAACAAACACACAAACGAAGGTCAAAGGTTGAACTGACTGAGCTCTGAAGACTCTATCAAACTCTGGTGGACCGGTCGTAACTGGTGGTGATACAGAGTACTTCCTCCTGGCATAAATAACCTGCATTGAGAAATAGGCTACACACACAAACACAAAGACTTGTTTTATCTTATTGACATACATTTTGACTAAAGAAACCCAGCTGTATGATCAAAGGCCATTGTGTTTTAAAAATAAAAATGTATAGAATCAAGACCACGTGTTATATATTGTATAAAAGACATTTCAAATTGTTTTTCTTTTTACTTTAGTTACATGCTAAATAAACTTTTGTCTCATTAAAAACAATGGATGGAATCATCAATACTTACCTTAATCTCAGTTTTCATTGCAATCACATTTGTATTTAACAGAATCTGAAGCAAAATACTATCTCTGTACAAGAGCTCGTTCTGTGTTATTTGTCCCGTATTCCAGCATGCTCTGCACTCTTACCTTGCTCCAAGACAGCCAGGACAGTAACTGCAGCGAGGCCGAGAGCATCACCCAACATTTCTGCAGGGATCTTGATGAGTCAGAGCCACAGACGAAACAGACACACCTGACAGAAAACATAGCATCACACTCACAAAACGTTCTGCACACACCCCAACAAGGGGTGGAGCACAGGTAACCAAACTGTTGAACATGGTGAGTCAGTGACTTACCTGTTAACCAGGTTGAAGTTCAGAAAAACCTGTCATTACCTATATTAAAATTTTTAATCAAATATTATTACATGTTATATGAGATGAACCAACCTATTTGCTTATAAAACACAGCCCTGGGTATGGATGTGATTGTAAAACACCAGAACAAATATGGTATAGACACATTGGTATAGACAATTTTATCCTCAGATCCTCATTGTTTATCATGGTATTACTGGATCTCCCCCCCCAGAATTTAATGCCATTTTCCCCAGATATATTTTAAATATCTTTTCTAAACAGTTTTTATTGTCTCAGGCAACTGTAGGAACAAATCACAAACAACCAGCTTGTTTCTAAAGAACTATATTTACATAATACTCTTGTTTTACAGAGAACCATATCAAAAGTATAAAATACTTACAAAACATCCTTAGCAATATATAAAAATAACTATCTTCTCCTCATCATTGGAAAGGCTTACATACAAAAAATAGATTTATACATTTACACAGGAGGCTGAAGATGAAGGCTTGACATCAGCCTCCAGTTACTGATCAATAACATTATTACAACATGAAATATTCAACATGGCACAACAGCATGTGCATGTGTGTCTGGAGACGCAAAACAGTACAGTAGATAGAACAACCGCGTCACAGGTACGGTGGTCACAGGTCCGGCTCGAACGCAAAGATCTGGACACAGGTCTGTCTTTGAGTCAGTACTAACCGTTACTCTGGTTACTTCTAATCCTGAGCTATGTTCAGGATTTAATGTCTGGACATCAGCGCAGCAATTGGGCCTGTTCTAATTCACCAGGGAAGACAAATGCTGACTTTCACTCAGCTACAGAAAACACATGTGGTAGCGCACAGAGCACTTTTTTCTGAGAATCCTTTACATACATACCACAGAAACACTTCAATATGAATTTGGGTTCCTTCTGCATCTTTGCTTTACTGCAAAAACAAAATCCTGTAGAGGGCCATTGGTATTCTTATTATCGGTAAATTCCTGTTTTTACTGCTCATGTCAACACAGGTGATGTAAATAGGCAAAAAATGTTAAACAAAAAGGCTAAACAGATATTGCATCT